TAGATAGATAGATAGATAGATATAGATTAGATATAGATTAGATATAGATTAGATTCGATTAGATTAGATAGATTCGATAGATTCGATAGATTCGATAGATTCGATAGATTCGATAGATTCGATAGATTAGATAGATTAGATAGATTAGATAGATTAGATAGATTAGATAGATTAGATAGATTAGATAGATTAGATAGATTAGATAGATTAGATAGATTAGATAGATTAGAAGATTAGATAGATTAGATAGATTAGATAGATTAGATAGATTAGATAGATTAGATAGGGTAATTAGATGAAAGAGACGACGAGAAGAGAGAGATAGTGATGATAAAGAGAGAGAGGAGAGAGATATGAGATAGATAGAGAGAGAGATAGATAGAGAGAAGATAGATAGATAGATAGATAGCTAGCTAGATTAGCTAGATAGAGGATAGATTAGATAGAGGATAGATAGATAGATGTAGATAGATAGATGTAGATAGATAGATGTAGATAGATAGATGTAGATAGATAGATAGATAGATAGATAGATAGATAGATAGATAGATAGATAGATAGATAGATAGATAGATAGATAGATAGATAGATAGATAGATAGATAGATAGATAGATAGATAGATAGATAGATAGATAGATAGATAGATAGATAGATGATTAGATAGATAGATAGATGATTAGATAGATAGATAGATGATTAGATAGATAGATAGATGATTAGATAGATAGATAGATGATTAGATAGATAGATAGATGATTAGATAGATAGATAGATGATTAGATAGATAGATAGATAGATTAGATAGATAGATAGATAGATAGATAGATAGATAGATAGATAGATAGATAGATAGATAGATAGATAGATAGATAGATAGATAGATAGATAGATAGATAGATAGATAGATAGATTAGTAGATTAGTAGATTAGATAGATAGATTAGATAGATAGATTAGATAGATAGATTAGATAGATAGATTAGATAGATAGATTAGATAGATTAGATAGATAGATTAGATAGATAGATAGATTAGATTAGATAGATTAGATTAGATAGATTAGATTAGATAGATTAGATTAGATAGATTAGATTAGTTAGATAGATAGATAGACAGATAGACAGATAGACAGATAGACAGATAGACAGATAAGATTAGATAAGATTAGATTAGATAAGATTAGATAAGATTAGATAAGGTTAGATAAGGTTAGATAAGATTAGATCAGATTAGATCAGATTAGATCAGATTAGATCAGATTAGATAAGATTAGATAAGATTAGATAAGATTAGATAAGATTAGTTAAGATTAGATAGATAGATAAGATTAGATAGATAAGATTAGGTAGATAAGATTAGATAGATAAGATTTGATAGATAAGATTTGATAAATAAGATTAGATAGATAAGATTAGATAAGATTAGATTAGATCGATAAGATTAGATAGATAAGAATTGATTAGATTAGATTAGATCGATAGATAGATCGATCGATCGATAGATTAGATTAGATTAGATTAGACTGGACTAGATTGGATTAGATTGGATTAAATTAGATTAGGTTGGATTGGATTAGATTGGATTGGATTACATTGGATTAGATTCGATTAGATTAGAGAGATAGATAGATAGAGAGATAGAGAGACAGATAGATAGATAGATAGATAGATAGATAGATAGATAGATAGATACATAGATAGATAGATAGATAGATAGGGTAATTAGATGAAAGAGAGGGAGAGAGATAGATAGATAGATAGATAGATAGACAGACAGATAGATAGATAGATAGATACCTAGCTAGCTAGATAGATAGATAGAAAGATAGATAAAGAAAGATAAACTAAGAAAGATCAAGAAAGATAAAGAAAGGTAAAGAAAGATAAAGAAAGATAGATAAAGATAGATAAAGATAGATAAATATAGATAAAGACAGATAAGATAAGACAGATAAGATGAGATAAGATAAGGTAAGATAAGATAGATAGATTGATAAGTAAGTAAGTAAGAATGATAGGTAGATAGGTAGATAGGTAGATAGGTAGATAGGTAGATTAGAAAAATAAGATTAGAAAAATAAGATTAGAAAAATAAGATTAGATAGATAAGATTAGGTAAGATTAGATAGATAGATAGATAGGTAGATAGATAAGGTAGGTTGGTAGGTAGATAGATAGAAAGATAGAAAGATGGACGGACAGACAGACAGACAGGATAGAGGGATAGAGAGAGAGAGAGAGAGAGACAAAGAGATAGTTAGATTGATTGATTGATTGATAAATAGATTGATAGATTTATGGATTGATCGATTGGTACATTGGTACATTGGTAGCTTGATAGATTGATAGATTGATAGACTGATAGATCGATCGATTGAGATAGATAGATAGATAGACAGATAGACAGATAGACAGATAGACAGATAGACAGATAGACAGATAGATAGACAGATAGATAGACAGATAGATAGACAGATAGATAGACAGATAGATAGACAGATAGATAGACAGATAGGGAGGTAGATAGAGAGGTAGGCAGATAGGTAGACAGACGGACAGACAGACAGATAGATAGATAGATAGGTAGGTAGGTAGTCAGACAGGCAGATAAACAGACAAATAGATAGATAAAAGATAGAATAGATAGAATAGAAAGACTAGAATAGAATAGAAGAGAATAGAATAGAATACAATACCATACAATAAAATAGAATAGAACAGAATAGAACAGAATAGAATAGAACTAGAATTAGAATTAGAATTAGAATAAAATAGAATTAGAATAGAATAGAATACAATAGATAGATAGGTAGCTAGATAGAGTAGATAGAACAGATAGAAAAAAAAAGAATACATAGAATTCACTGATAGAATATACTGATCGAATAGATAAAGAGATAGAATGGAAAGAATAGAAAGAATCAGAAATTAAATCGAATAGATTCAATAGAATGAATAGATAGGATAGATAGAATAGATATAATAGATAGGATAGATAGAATAGATAGAATAGATAAAATAGACTAGAGCAAATGAGATGAGATCAGATGAGATGAGATAAGATTAAATTAGATTGAGAGATTAGATTGGACTGAGACATTAGATTAGATTGAGAGATTAGATAGGATAGATAAGATAGATCGGATAGATAGGAACGATAGGATAGATAGGATAAATAGGAACGATAGGATAGATAGGAGCGATAGGATAGATAGGAACGATAGGATAGATAGGAACAATAGGATAGATAGGAACGATAGGAACGATAGGATAGATGGGATAAATATATGGGATAGACAGGATAATTGGATAGGGTAGAACCGGGCGGGACGGGACAGGATAGGATAGCTAAAATTATAATCAGTAGTTAATACCCTCAAGATCCCTCAAGAATGAATGGGGATAAGAACACACAGGTTTGCTGGTAAAGTGTACCCCATTTTGGCTCGCCGTAGCCCAGTGAAAAGATCCTTCCAAACACCGCTTTGCAGCAGTCCTCATCAGCACTCTCGCTGGTACCTCCATCTTCGTTGGTCAATTCTTGCAACATGGTTGCTTTCTCACCTGGGAATGGGTCAAAATAGGTGGTAAGTAGGAACCATCCCCACCAAGGGGAAACCTAGTCAAGGTTTGTCGGTATGTCACAATACCCTTCTGGACCCAGTCATGACGCTTATCATCTGTGTGAAACTATCCCCAAATAGGTGGAAATATGAGCCATACCCTGTGAGCGCAAAGAATACACCAGTAGAGAACTGGCTGGAAGCATGGATCACCCACACTCCTTAGGGGAGAACCGAAGATTACGGTGAGACTCAATGTTAATCTAATATAGGAAGGACCATTCGTCATTGGCATTCTCACTACTTTGGGGACTGTATGAATCCAAGGCTGACATTACCCCGGGTTCCACCCTTTCACGCGCCAAGTCACGCGATTTCACGCTCGAATTCTGGGGATCACCGCTTGGCCGATGGGACAATGTTGCTGTGAGTTCTTGCTCCCGCAACCTGCAGGGCATGGCAACACAGTGCGGCTGTCATTCGCATCCCATGATGACCCTCATCCCTTTGGGTTGAAATCTCCCTTTACCCGAGATGGAAATGAATATGAACATATATGAACAGTTGGATTGAAGTCCCTTGATACCAACTCAGAAACAACTGGGCTGTCCCCCGACTTTGATCAAATCCTCACCTAAAAACTTCTGACAAGTTCCCCTTTGACACTGCGCGGTCCAGAACTGCGCTTGCCCGTCTGGTCTTCTCTTTCCCCCCGCCGCTGCTTACTTGGGAGACAGCTCTCGACCTTTTGCTGGACTCCTCGGATGGGCCAAAAACAGGTCGTGAAAAAGCCACGTTGTTGGACTCTTTCAAGCTCCCACAAAACCTAAACTTTGGGACTGCCAAGGTTGCTACTATCTAGGAAATGCCAAGCGTCCTTGGGCGTGTTCTCGCCTCTGGATGATTTGCCATCCTCTTGTGATTCAGCCACTTCTGCGAGAAACGCAGAGTTTAAGGAACTGCCACGATGGAAAGACTTCATTGATTTGACTTCCTCTTGTGGTTCAGTTCCTTCCGCCAACGCGGAGCTTTGGGAATTGCCACGATGAATGCTTTTGCTGGCAGAAGTAGATGATCTGGGCATCAACTGACTCTCGTCCTTGGAGAAACTCCTGGAGTCTTGAGCCAATCGACCCCTCGAATCCTCTTGGTCCTGGAAGCAACAGACAAAAGGGGGGCACTTTATGTCGACAACCAATCCATAGTATACCGTGGTATACCGTGGTATACCGTGGTATACCCTATTCCTGGAAGCCTTTGTTATTTGCGCCACAATCCATGCCGGATGTGCTCTGGTGGATCCACATCCCATTGAACCCATTGGTTGCGGCTTTTGCATGCAACCATCTCCCATTCTGAGCAGTCACTATTTGAGTGCCCAAATTGATACCAACGTGTTTGACTGCTGCATAGACTGATTTCATCCATTGGTTGCTGCAAAGAACTACTCTGATGTACAAAGTGATGTGCACTACTTTGTGCTCAAAAAGTACTATGCAATCTGCAGAGCACTACAGCCTACAGCAAACTAAGTTGCTACAAACTACAAACCCCAGTTTTCTTCTAGGAAGAATCGCACAGGCACTCTGCTGGTAGCCGCAGCCAGCTAGTTGGGCAGTTGGCTAAGTGAAGTAATGCATGAGCAAATCATTGATGGAAAAAAAACATGAAGTTCCTCATCCAAAAATCCATTGAACATCCCAAAAACTGTGTCAACCCACTGCCGCATTCCGACCATTCCGACCATTCCGACCATTCCGACCCTGTCACCAGAACGGTCCCTGGAACACGAACCGCTTGGAAGGCCAGTGCTGGCGCCCACGCTCCTGTGCCACCCATCCGTCTCCTCTGTGACGCTTCGAGTTGCTTCCCGCCTCAGATTGGCGGGTGGAGAAGTGGTGAAACCACATGGCTTAGAATGTACTCCCATTTAGGGTTGTACAATATGTTACAATATGTTACAATAATTCCCAACAAACATCAATAGACAAGTTAGTATCACCCCATGAATTGACCCACCAACGGAGAAATCTTTTGTGGCTTGAATGTAGCTTTGAAGCCGACAAGCCAAGGACCGAACCGCTAAAGCGTGGCAGGTAAAGTTGTTGCAAAATGTGTTTTGAATATTTTACCAACAAACAATAGGGACTTTTTAAACTGCCGGGAAAATGGAAGGATCACTAACAAAACATGGCCAAAAACCAGCAGAAAGCTGCGCACAATAAAGGTCGTATTGATCACGGGATTTTTTGCTAGAAAACTTCTGAGTTCCTGGCAACAGTCACCGGTAGTAGAAACATGATACTGTATAGACCACAGCAACATGAGTACTCTGTGTTTTCTTGGCTTGAGTGGTCGCTATGGAAGGGGCTGTGTTTCCCTCGGTCTGCAAGGGTTGTCGAGACAAAGTGCACGAGACTGTAGCGAGAGCTGGGTTTGGATGAAAAATGCTCAAAACGCTACGGTCTAAGACCGTTTGGAAGATAAGGGGTGGAAAAGTGCGCGAGACTGTAGCGTCATGTTGCGACCCTAGACAAGTAAAACTTCCTCATAGATTGAAGAATATCATTGTCTCGTCACGAGATTCACACTGGGGAAAGTAGGCATCTCGTTAGTTCTCTAAGTACTCCATGGGCGTTCATGATCGACATCATAAGTGTGGTTTTGTTCCTGCTGTGATGTAGGTCAGAGCTTTGGGTTGTTAACGATCACCTTTCCTGAAACTTAATGATTCCAATGCGGCCAAGCACTGCATGTGCTTTGGCCATTCTAAAATGTCAGCCTTTCCTTTGCACGCTTAGAAATCCCAAGCAGTGTGGTCAATTTTGATTGAGGCCTCCCTTTTTTGTAAGAACGAATCTACTTGTTCCCAAACTTGTCGGTCCAATTGTTTGGAATCTTGTTTGAATTTCTTTGATATGTTATGACATCCAACGCATGTCTCTTAGAGTTCGTCAGGTTCATTGACTTCGAGACGCTTGCCTGCAAGGTATAGAAGTCAAGGAACAAGTGATAATGAATGTACAAATCACCACATGCTCGGACCACTTTTAAAGATGATGTGGGAAAACAGAGGGTCTCAGACTGGCGCAGAAAAGTCTGCGCTGTGCATGCGGGATTGCAATCAGCATTTGCAAAATGCATTGAGAGAGCTGCCTCAAGAAAGACTTGAATAAGAGAATAGGGGGACAAGAAATTCAGAGAAGAGCAGGCTCACTCAGTATTTACGCGTTCTTCAGTGGCCAATTCAGCCATTCGCTCGTTTAGTCGGCCATTCTTTCAGCCGTTATTGATCAAACGCTGATGTCAATCAGCAATCTTTCCTATAGGCCCTTCATTTCCTGTAGTCACTGAATATTGTTGAAATTTCCGAGTGAATTCGTGGATATGAGAGGTGACTAGAGGATACCTATGAAGTAGTCATCCCGGACTAGATATAGAGTGTCCAGATGGACATGACGATTTTTTGAAATATAGAGTAGAGCTGACCACCAAAATTCTTGAACTTCTGTTGAGATTTGGATCTCATCGCACCTAGAGTTGAAGGTCAAATAACATCAAGAAGTTGAGGGACAACTAGCGCCATACATCGGCCCTGGACCCTGAAAAGTTGGGGAAAAATGATATGGCAGGGATCGGCATGGGGCCCTGCTCCAACACACCCGGCAGAGCCGGAATTGATGGCAGAATCGAAAACTCCACCTCCTTCTCCTGAAGGCGCAGGATCCCAAGTCCAAAAATTCGCAGTTTGAAAGGGTCTCAAACATTTGTTTCCTTGAAATTGCTTGTCTTGGTGGACTTTCTTGTTTGCGTTCTTCGCAATCATCCAGTTCCCCAACTTCAGCCCCAAATCGGCCTTTTTTGGTGTAGAGTTGGTGGAGTGGGTTCTCTCTTTACGTCGAGTGATCGCTGGGAGCTTCTTTAGACTCATCGAGCGTGTAGGGAGGCGTCCAGCGCCCAAATGTGAGATGTCCATCTGCAAGACCTCCATGGCTAGGCTATCTGCCTGGAGCAAAGCTAACCGGGAGACCCCAAGAATTTTGAACCCAAAAAAAAAATGTTTTTTGGGAGAAATGATGATAAGTCAGGATATTTGGGGGTGCCTGATGTGAATAAAGATGCCTCTGAGATGTTCAGACTCTCCATGTTCGGTCCAGGTTTGACCCGTTAGCAGGATGCACCACTTCAGATCTTCACAGGGTTTCCTTGTCCATCGTATTTTTGATCAGAAGAATCAACAAAGTCCCGTCTGCTTGTCTAGAACATTGTAGTTGTTCCAAGTTCATGAAAAATGCACTAAAATGCACTAAAATGCACTAAAATGCACTAAAATGCACTAAAAGCACTAAAGGAAATCATCAAGAATGTGGGGCCCCTGCGCCTGAAGCCTCTTTTGGGATGATGGGTACTCCACCGCGGAGGCATTGGAATGGGTGGATGATCGCCGCATGGGCATGAGGCGTCGGCTGTGGCACAGGCTCTCAGCGATCTGCCTGAAACTATTTTGGCACTGCGACACGGCAAAAAGACAAGGGGATAGGTGAGGTGTGGTATTGTTGGGGCTTGGCAATTCAATGAATCCGTGAGATCTTTGAGTATGTTTCAGATTCTCAAACTGCAAAAAGATCCGAGATCTTTGGGTATAAGCATAGCTCCATCATGGGGAGTTAAGATGGACTCACAACATGGATCATCCCATGTTAGGAGGTTAACAAGACTAGCGACATACTTTAAACAAACCAAGTTGCTGCACCCGAGCATCCAGGTGCTGCAACTTCTCTGCAAGGGAATCATGATGTCGCCGCATTGCCTACCGATGGATCACATCCGGTTTACCAAGTGGATTACCACAAGATAACCCCCGAATATATATATATATATGGGATATACCTCAGTCGTGTATATATATATTATATATATATACATATATACATAATTATTATGTATATGTATTGGTCATTAGCCACATACTAAGTGTGTAATGTGTACAATGTTTTTTCATCATATACTTAACATAAAATTGGATGTGTAATGTAACATGTTTTCTCCTGGCTGAGGGACTCTGAAGGAAAGCAGGAGATATGCGCAAAGGATGGGAGAGTGTCAATACCCCAGCGGACAAGCCCCAAAACTTGCAGCCAGGGGGGATGCACGAAAGCTAGCTGGACGGTACCAAAGTTGTACCGGAGATTGCTCAGCAAAAAGAATAAACTGAAATAGGAGTGTCTAACTGCCAAAAGGAAGAACCGGATTGAGATCCAAACAGAGAAAGGACCTGATGATGATGATGATGAGGAGGAGGAGGAGGAAGAGGACACGGTGCTCCTAATGAAGACCCAAATGAAGAAGATTAAGATCAAAACGCAGCTGACGATAAAGATGACAAACCTGTACCTGCCCTCAAACCACGGACCGGGCCTGCCAGTTTGGGGGAGAGAGGGAGTGTGTAACCTTGAAAATTTCTAGGGATTGAACTCTCCTGCTGCCTCCCTATTCCTTGCTAGGCTTCCGTGATAAAGGTTGGTTCATAGGAATTGGGGCAATGAATTGTGATGGATATGCAGTGGGTGGTATAGCTAGAGGCATCGACTAACCGTGTTTTGTTCAAGATGCTCAACAGCTTTAAGCCTCAGGTGGTCATAGAAATTCGGACGAAGCTTGGCAGTACTGCCTAAAAACAACAGGTGGCCTAGATGAAATTGCCCGGAAATGTGGTACAACCCAAAAATTGCAATTCTAATTGGAACATGCTAGTAAGTTTAAGTATTTCAAGGTTCCCTTTTCTTGGACAACCCCATCTTACTCCCACAATCTCCCTCCCCGATGCCTCCATAAGTATCTCATTGGATTGTTCCATCAGCTCAGGTTCAGAGCAGAACTCCAGACTCGGTTCCCTCGCTGTACTCATCGGACCCATAGGGCTTGGAGGTATGGCCGGCCAACTGCCCACCGGAGACGGAGGGCTATGTTCCATGAGGCTTCGTTTTGGTCGCCGTGGGTCGTCCGTGCGTGTCGCCCCACTTAGTGGGTGCCCCACTTAGTGATCCAATTTTGAACCAAAGCTGCGGTCATGAGAAGGTGCAGACTATCCTATCCTTTTGACATTCGTTCCTTCCATCCTTTTGAAAGAAGGAAGCGGGAGAAAAAAAACAAGAAACCCACGGTTCTTTCAACGCAAGCATATCTTCTCAACATGTCTTTAGATCGTCTCATATAGCACTTTAAGAATTGCCCTATCCATAAAATCCTTAAAGCCAGGCACCTCAAAGCCGCTAGTGCTGCAGTGGATCCAGACACCTGACCAGAGAAGCGGCCCAGAAATGACACGAAGGCAAGACTAAGTTTTTTACACAAATCTGGCAACTTCCAAGAGATATATATATATATAATGTAGTGTGTATATATATATATTGAAAATATATGCAGATATATATATATACACAAATATATATTATACATGAATATATGTGTATACATATATATATTATTATATTATGTATACATATGTAGGTATATTATAAATATATATATATACACATATGTATATTATATAAATTATATATATATATCTTAATATAAATATATGTTCATTTATTCATCTATCTTATTTTTTGTCTTTTCGCTCATCTATGTATCGATTTATTCCCCAGATAGCGAAGCTATTGGGGTTCTTGCTTCAAGTATAAGAGGAGTTGCATGCCTGGATTTTAGCGGGCATGTTGGTGCCAACCCCGGGTGCTGGTTGAGGGTGCTCCTGTCAGAGTGGTGTGTGCTTGAGGGTGCTGTGACTGGTGCCGCTGCAGGCTGCCGGGTGCCGTTGAAAGGTGCTGCTTGAAGGTGCTGCTGTCCACAGTGGAGTGCGGGCTTGGGAGCGAGGGTGCCGCTGCACGGTGCTGCTTAAGGGTGCTGCTGTCAGAATGGTGTGAAGCGGGCAAGATGCCACTGCAGGGTGGTGCTTGAGAGTGTTGATGTCAAAGCGGCATGCTGGTGCCGCTGCAGGGAGCGATGCTGGTGCAGGGTGCTGCTTACAGTGCTGCTGGCACAGTAGTGCGTGCATCATCTGCTCCAGCTGCAGGGTGCTGCTTGAGGGTGCTGCTGTCAGAGTGGCGCGTGCGCTTTGGTGCGAGCATGCTGGTGCCGCTGTAGGTTGCCCCTGCAAGGTGCTGCTTGAGGGTGTTGGAGGGGAGAGTGGCGTGTACGCTTTGGAGCTTGCCTGCTGGTGCCGGTGCAGGGTGCTGCTGCAGGGTGCCGCTGCAGGGTGCTGCTGCAGGATGCTGTGCTGTCAGAGTGGCCTGTGCGCTTTGGCGGTGGCTTGGTGGTGCCGCTGCAGGCTGCTGCTGTTGGAGTGGCGTGTGCGCTATGGAGCTGGCCTGCCGGTGCCGCTTCACGGTGCCGCTGCAGGGTGGGGGTGCAGGGTGCAACTGTCAAAGGCCTGTCTGCATCTTAGGAAATTAGGTGCTGTTACAGGGTACTGCTGTCAGAGTGCGGTGTGCGCTATAAAGCTTGGGTGCTGGCGTCGCTGCAGGGAGTGGCTGCGAGATGTCTATGGCAGTGTGGGCGTTGGGCCCTGATGGAGATTACGTCTATGCCGCAGCAAAAAAGGCGGTTGGTTTTGGTTGCCCGACAAAATATATTTCTATGCTGGTGTAATCTATTCAACATATAAAGCTGCATTTCCCTTGTCTACAGTACTCACTTCTTTATCCATGTATCATCATCTATCTACGTCTGTGTTTTCCATGTTTTTTTCGCTTGTCTGAGCGCCTCCAGTAGCTGTCGCAGCGCCTTTAAGGCGGCCAAGCAGAGACTCCAGCTGGCTTCGCCATGCCTAGCGATGCAACGGTGCTAAGCGATGTGCATCCCAGGCATCCTAAGTGGTTGATAACCAGCAGATGACTCATATGACCCAGTTATATACAGCATATACCCCAATGGATAACGGGGATGTAATTTCGGAAATCAGGTGTAAATGGGGATTCAACCATGTGATACGTGGCATGTGGCTGTCTGAAAATGGTTAATATACAGATTAGCAAATCTTTCAGTTTTAGATTGGGGAAAATGGTGATCAGTCAGTAGTGGGCCATCAGAACCACCACCACCACCACCAGCACATCAGCATTATCCCCTACCCGAACTTTGAATGAACGCCAGGTCCACCCTGCAGTCAGCAATCCCAAAGGAAAGCTTGTGGAATATACTGGATCTAATCATGTTTGGGACCCATTTTACATGTTTTCTTTTCCCGGTAGATATCCATTCATATCCTGCGATTGGTAAGCTACCAGTCCCGAATGTGGCGGGTAACCCCTCGATATGTCATCAGCCAATTGGGATTCTGAAACTGTTCAGCCGCTTTAAGCCTCACGATTTCTAAAGATTTCTAAGCACCCAGGTGTTGCAGCAATGGTTTGCCATTTTGCAATTCCCTTCCAAATGAGACCTCCCTAGCCTCTGGTAATCATAGCTATGGCGTTTCCGCCCCATTTTTCATAGGTCAATGAGCCAGAAATGGGCCATGCCATTCATCACTCCATTGCCATGCCGAGGCGCCGAGCCAAGCATCTGGCCAGGCACAGGCCCAGAGCCTCCGCCACGGACTTCTCCAGGGATTCGGCCGAAAACGCCTGGAACTTTCTGCGGAAACGGTCGGATGTGACGAAGCCCCAAAGATGGTATCGAGATCATCAAATAAAATCCGAAACGGTGTCCAATCATGGGAAATCTTATGAAATCTTAGGTAGCCTGAAAAAAAAGGAAAACTCATCTTGAGCTGGCTGTATCCTCGTTCGATGAACTTGATGCCAAAAGATTAAAGTACTAAACTACCTAACCAACACCTCAAATATAGACATATAGATAGTTGGTCTCTCGAAGGAATGACCCAAATGGATTTCGCCAACTCAACCAACCTCTCCCCGCCTCCAGAAGCAAAGTCAGGCACTTCAGGCTGTTGGTGGCAGCCTTGACCCTTCCCTTCTCGTAGAGCTCGCCTTGGTCAAGTTACGTGGGATTAATATGGATTATATGGTCGTCACACCATCATTGGAATTCCTGAGAAAATGGCTATAACAACCTCTCTCACTGGATTGATGACCATTGATGACCATCCCCCAATACGGCTATAGAATCCAACTTTTCACATGGTAAAACCCGCTTCTACTGGGGAAAAAAAACTTGATCTAAAGGGTGATAATGGGGACAAATATCAAACTTTCATCCAACTGCAACTCCGCCCTTCGCTCGCTTTTTGCGTTCCCAGCGACTGGTTCTCTCCAGAAAGGCATCACGGAGACGATTCGTACGGCGCGGCTCGGAGGCCTTGGCACAGGGTGCAAATTCAACCAAAGATGTCAAATCATAAGTTGTCCCAGTTGTCCCCTTTGACCAAGCTGCAAGCAGTTTGCATCTTTCTTTGCCAGGAGACAAACTTGATTGGCATGGACTCGTACAGGACACTATCTGGTCGATGAGCGTCATAGCCATCCTGAGCTCACCAAACTTGGCCTGCAAAACTCCATGACTTTCTGCTAGGACCATCTCAATATAATACCTTTTCCCTGGTATCAAAACCCCGAGAGAAACCATGGCTTAGTAGGGAATGAAATCATATATTTGCATGAATTTGGGACCATGTTGGGGGTGTTTAATATTGCGGAGGAAGGGATTATTTCAAAGACTTTGAGAACTTGTTACCCCTGCTCCAACAGAGTTGCACATGTGGATCAAAACCTATGATATCATAACTAACACGTCGGAGACATCCCACTTACAAAGTGCTTAGTAGCCACAGTTATACTATATATATATAATATCATTATATGTCTATATACAAATGACAAGGTATAAGTTATATGAGCCATTTATGTAAATTCTACATGGTCTTACTCTTAAAAATAGGATACCCCCAAATCCGGTGGTTCATCGTCATTCTCAGACACACCCATATGGATTTCATATGGGGGGTGCATGCGCCAGGGCTCAGAAGTGGTGCCCTGTGCACGGCCACCCCAGGACTTCTGCACTTCAAAGTATCCCAATGGCGCGCGAGGCGCTGGAGACGTCACCAACCTGGAACCATCGACGTATGCGGGTAGTGATACTTGAAGGGTGAAGACATCTTGCTTGGAGGATTTGGTTCGTGCATATTCCTAGGATGTTCCTAGGAGGCTCTTAGGATGAACTCAGGGATGTCCTTAGGGATGTTCTTGGATGTTCTTAGATGTCCTCAGATTTTCAGATCTGCTCTGAGGTCTCCTTGATATTCAATTCACATCATTCTGCAGCGTTCAATCAGCACTCGACGGAATTATCCACCAAAAAACTGAAGCACTTCCTCCGTGACGTAAGGTCTCAACAGCAGGGTCGCCAGAATGACAAGCATCTGACGACAACTCCTGTCCATGGCTGCCATGGCCGCCATGGCCGGCAGGGGACCCAAGACATGGATAGAAATGCGACTAAGACAATTCAACATCATCCAAGAGTTATGGGTTTGGGTGTCTGAAATTTTGACCTACATACACATGACAGAGGAGTGCTAGGACGAGTTCGTTCGATCGAACTTTCTGACTCTGGCTAAGCCGAACCATTTGAAACCTTCTGCAATTGTGAGCGAACACTTCCTAAACGATACGACAGCGTTCAAGGCTTCAAATGCAGCCTACCCCATGCCACATCCTGAGAGTTTGCAAGAAGTCATAGAAGATTGCCCAAGAAGTCTCCTGTGCTCAAGCTGTGTGGCACAATGGTATTTGCACGACCTTTCAGTAGTACACTACACACAATGAAAAAGCAATGTTCAAGGATAAAATGGTTCTGTAAAAGCAAACAAGAAACCAAAAAATCAGTTGAACCAAAGTGAAAACCAAGTTGCCAATCCATCAGGTGGCATCATTGGCCTCGTGAATCATGCCAAAACAGCAATTCTGCGGCAGGAAAGTCGCGAAAACATCTCACCATGCCATCCCATCCGTCTCCTGCGAAAGCATGGCATGTTGGGAACACAGCTGCAGAGCAGAGCCCATCAAAACGGGCAGCACTGCGAAGCGGAGGAGCCGCTCCTGATTAGCGGGATGACGGGCTTATATAAACCAATATGGGAGCATACCATGATATATGTGGGGATGGGTTCATAGCCTCAATTTTTTCTATCCTTGCTGATTCGCGGAAAAAACATGTACAAATTTGGGAATAAACCAACAAAAACTCGAAGTAGTGCATGTGTCTGCATAATATGTGCTAATATGTGCGTGCATGGATGGAGGCAATGTGTGTAACGCAACGCAACGCAGCACAGCGCAATGTAACGTAGAGTAAGGTAAGGTCAGGTCAGGTCAGGTCATGTAATGTCTGTTTGTACGTCTGTCCATCTGCGCGTCTGTCTGTCTGCCTGCCTGGCTGGCTGGCTCGCTGTCTGGCTGGCTGGCTGTGTGGCTGTCTGTCTGTCAGTGCGTCTATGCGTCTATTCGTCTATGCGTAGGTAAGTAAGTATGTAAGTATGTAGGTATGCAGGTATGTAGGTATGTAGGTATGTAGGTATGTAGGTATGTGGATATGTAGGTATGTAGGTATGTAGGTATGTAGGTAAGTAGGTAGGTATGTATGTATGTAGGTAGGTATGAACGTATGAACGTATGAAAGTATGAAAGTATGAACGTATGAACGTATGTATGTAGGTATCTACGAGTGTAGGTATCTACGTGTGTAGGTATCTATGTATGTAGGTATCTATGTATGTAGATGTATGTAGGTATTTTTGCATGTAGGTATATGTATGTAGGTATCTATGTATGTAGGTATCTATGTATGTTGGCATCTATGGATGTAGGCATCTATGTATGTAGTTATCTATGTAGGTAGATAGGTAGGTAGGCAGGTAGGTAGGATGACAGGCAGGTAGGTATGTGCGTATGTATTTGCCTGTATGTCATGCATGCATGCATGCATGCATGCATGCATGCATGCATGCATGCCATGCTGCATGTATGTCATGTAATATAATGGAATTTAGTGTATGTAATACAATGTAATCTAGTATGGTGGCATGGCATGGTATTGCCTGGCATGGCATGGTATTCTATGGTATGGTATGGTCTGTATGTGTTTACTGCGTACACTGCGTATACTGCGTATACTGGGTATACTCTATATATATATATACTCAATGTATAGATAGACACGTATACTGATATATTGATATGGTGAGGGATTTCCAACATGTTCTCGAATGAACTGGATAACTGGATAAACGTCCACCTTTTCACAGTGATTTTGATGTGAGAACCAGATTACCAGGGAGAAATCCGAAAACTCCATCAATGCCATTCAATGGAGCAGTGGGTGGTCTGCCCAGTCTGAATACTACACAGCACAGCTAAATTTCTCTGAAGGTTTAACTACCTGGAAAAGAAAAACTTGGAATTTGTGACGTTCATGGTAAACAAGATCTAAGAATTTTGCAAACTAAACCTTCAATCGGGATGTTTATACAACCAATGTCTAGTAAAACTGGAGATACTTCCCACATGGACTTCCTTTCCCTCCCCGTATCGCCTGCAGCACAGTACTCAACTGGGGGACTTCCTCAGGTGCCAGGACTAGAATCTATGTCGAAAAATCGGAAGAAAGTCCTATGTCGCCAAATAGCAATGACCAGCCTGATCATTTTTCTCCATCAACTCTTGAGCCCTATCTCCGAATCTCCAAGGAACACAAGTGAAGACATCTGCCAAGTACATCAAGATGTCGTTCTGCAGTCGCATAAACTCCTGCTTCTCTTTCCGATGTTCGCTGGATCGCGCTGCCTCTTCGGTCTTGCCTCACTGCCATGGTGAAGAAAGTCTGTTCATGAGCAAAGGTGTTTGTTGGCCACATAATAGACCTAGACCTATCAAATGCAGCAAGGGCCAAAACTCCGCCAGGCTGGTGGTTAAGTTGGTCCAAGGTTCGCCAGAAATGTCGCAGCAAGCAGACCACGTGAGTGAAGAGAATCTTGGAGTCCGCCACCACCAAACCAAACAAGTCGTCCATCCAAGCATCTGCTGCCTTCCTGGGTTTTTCTGAAAATGTCGTACACCCAAATTAGATGGCAATTTTTGGGTACTTTCGGACATGTCAGTCTTTGGAATCCAGTGGCAGCAAACACCGCAAAAAGACTCTTTTGACCTGGCGACCCCAAGCTACAGGAATATGTGAAAGGCTCCTCTCAAGAATTGGCGTTCCAGCACATGTCTGTCAAGCGCTTTCAAGCTTCATCCCAATGTTTTTTGTCTTTCAAGTTGATGGAATATCTTCGGAACCATCTCATCTTGTGGCCGGGGTCTTCAATTTTAACCCATGTGCAAGCTGGGATGAGAATCTGAGTGTTTCCAAGCGTCAACTTTGTGAAGATCTCCAAGGAGGTTGCTTGAACCTGTGTCCGGACCTCACGCACCGTTTCAGAGTGCGGTGCAAAGGTGTTGCATTTTATACAATCCTCAAGCAGACACAAATTCGGGTTGCTTCCAATGCAAGAGTCACCTGAGAGTTGAACTTTAACTTTTGATTAGGGAATATTCTGATCTTCTATCTTCTACAACAACCCCTCTGATTTTTCGCCACGACTGCTACACTGCCTGTGCGACAGGATGGTGGTAGAAGCGTGCGCTTTGGCCAAAGATAGGGAAAGGTTTCTCTGCTGCAGGGTCAAAGAAGAGCATGAGATTCTCCTGAGTCTGTTCTGCAGAGTCGTTCTAACTGTTGTTTTGGCCCTTGGCAGCTGGATGGCATTTCTTCGTATGAATATACATATACATATACAAATATATATATATATATGCATACATTACATACATTACATACATTACATACATTACGTACATTACGTACATACCCACATACACACATACACACATACACACATACACACATACACATACATACCACATACATACATACATACATACACATACATTACACATACATTACATACACGTTACATACATTACATACATACATACATACATTACATACATTACATACATTACATACATTACCCATACGTACATTACCATACATCCATACATACCATACATACCATACATACCATACATACCATACATACCATACATACCATACATACCCATACCATTACCCATACCATTACCCATACCATTACCCATACCATACATACCATACATACCATACGTACCATACGTACCATACGTACCATACGTACCATACGTACCATACGTACCATACGTACCATACGTACCATACGTACCATACGTACCATACATACGTACCATACGTACACGTACCATACGTACCACGTACCACGTACCATACGTACCATACGTACCATACGTACCATACGTACCATACGTACCATACGTACCATACGTACCATACGTACCATACGTACCATACGTACCATACGTACCATGCGTACCATGCGTACCATACCATACGTACCATGTACCATACGTACCATACGTACCATACGTACCATACGTACCATACGTACCATACGTACCATACGTACCATACGTACCATACGTACCATACGTACCATACGTACCATACGTACCATACGTACCATACGTACCATACGTACCATACGGACCATACGTACCATACGTACCATACGTACCATACGTACCATACGTACCATACGTACCATACGTACCATACGTACCATACGTACCATACGTACCATACGTACCATACCATACATACCATACATACCATTACATACATACCATACATACCATACATACCATACATACAATACATACAATACATACAATACATACAATACATACAATACATACAATACATACAATACATACAATACATACAATACATACAATACATACTAACATAACATAACATAACATAACATTACATAACATTACATAACATTACATAACAATACATAACATTACATAACATAACATAACATTACATAACATTACATTACATTACATTACATACATTACATTACATACATTACATACATTACATACATTACATTACATACATACATTACATACATACATTACATACATACATACATTACATACATACATACATAACATAACATAACATAACATAACATAACATAACATACATTAATTACATACATACATACATTACATACATACATACATACATACATACATACATACATTACCATACATACATACATACATACATACATACATACATACATACATACAATACATACAGACAGACAGACATACATACATACAGACAGACAGACATATATACATACATACATTGCATTACATTACATTACATAACATTACATTACATAACATAACATAACATAACATACATAACATACATAGCATACACAACATACATAACATACATAACATACATAACATACATAACATACATAACACAACACAAGACAAAATAAGACAACACAACAGAACACAATACAGCACAGCACAGCACAACACTATACAATACATACATTTGTGATTTCATTGCTCAACGTTTCCTCGGCAACAACTTGACATGCTCCTGAAGCTTCTAACTGTTCAAGGGAGGTGGCACAATTGTGGCATCAAACAACCCGGACATTGCGGGCTGAGTTGCAGCGTCCATCATGAGAGCAATGTCCTTGACCACTGTCATCCAAAGGTGCAGTAGGTCTTCGTTACTTCCTTGATCGCTGAGAAGGCTTGGGCTCTTCCACACTACCAATGGTAAGTTTTGCCTGAGATCTTGTAACTATAGTTGTAGTCGCCACAAAATGTGTATATATATATAATCTATATATATATTATCTACATAAATATATATATATTATCTATATATATATCTATATTATCTATCTATATATATAATCTATATATATATATATGATCTATATATATATGATCTATATATATATATATATTATCTATATATATATTATCTGTATATATATATTATCTATATATATATTATCTATATATATATTATCTATATATATATATTATCTATATATATATATCATCTTTGTATATTATCTATATATATATTATCTGTATATATTATCCATATATATATATTATCTATATGTATATATTATCTATATATATATATTATCTATATGTATATATTATCTATATATATATTATCTATATATATTATCTATATATACTATCTATATATATATACAATCTATATATATATACTATCTATATATATTATATATATTATCTATATTATATATATATATTATCTATATATATATTATCTATATATATATTATCTATAAATATATATATTATCTATATATTGTCTATATATATATTATCTATATATGTATATTATCTATATATAATCGATCTATATATATTATCTATATATATATATTGTCTATATATATAATCTATATATATATTATCTATATATATATATTATCTATATATATATTATCTATATATATATACCATCTATATATATATACATACAGATAATATATATATATATTATCTAGATATATATATATATATTATCTTTATATATAATCTATCATATATATATATATTATCTATATAATATATTATATATATGATCTATATATACATTTTATATATATATATATCATATATATATAATCTATATATATTATCTATATATGTATATGATCTATATATATTATATATATATATTATCTATATATATATTATCTATATATATAATCTATATGAATTATCAATAATATATATATATATATATTAACTTTGTAATATATATATATATATTAACTTTATAATATATATATATAATCTATACAGTATATATTATCTATATATATTATCTATATATATTATCTATATATATTATCTATATATATATATTATCTATATATATTATCTATTTATATTATGTATATATATATTATCTATATATATATTATCTATATATATTATCTATATATATTATCTATATATATATATATTATACATATATATTATCTATATATATTATCTGTATATATATATTATCAATATAATGTATATATATAGATAATATATAGATAATATATGTATGTATATATTATCTGTATATATATATGTATATCTATTATCTTTGTAAATATTATATAAATATTATATATGTGTATAGTATTTCTATATATATATATTATCTATATAAATGTATTATCTATATATATGTTATCTATATATATATATACATTATCTATATATATAGTATCTATAAATATAAAATATATATATATTATCTATATATTATCTATACATATGTATTATCTATATATATATGTATATATTCTCTATATATATATATTATCTATATATTATATATATATGTATAAATTATCTATATATATATATTATCTAAATATACATATATATATATATCCTATATGTATAGTATCTCCATATATATGTATATGATCTATATATATATACATTATCTATATACATATCCTATATGTATAGTATCTCTTTATATAGATATTATCTGTATATATATATTATCTATGTATATATATGTGTGTGTAGTATCTATATATATATATACACTAGCTATATATATATAATATCTATTTATATATATATATATTATCTATATATATATTATCTGTATATATATAAAACCCATATATATATGTGTGTGTATTATCTATACATATATATTATCTATATATATATATCATCTATATATATATTCAATATATATATATATATCTATATATATATATATATGATCTATCTATATATATATATTATCTATATATATATTATCTATATATATATATTGTCTATATATATATATATTACCTATATATATTATCTATATACATATATATTATCTATAGATATATATTATCTATATATATTATCTATATATATTATCTATATATATTATCTATATATATTATCTATATACATATATATGATCTATATATATAAATATATATTATCTATAAAACAGATATATATATATATGTATACATATGTTATATTTATTTAATATCTATATATATTATCTATATATATATATATATATTATCTATATATATTATCTTTATGGATAGTATCCATATATATATTATATATATTATCGATATACATATAAAATATATATTATATATACACATTATATATATATTATCTATATATATATATTATCTATATATATATATATTATCTATATATATTATCTATATATATATTATCTATATATATATATTATCTATATATATATATTATCTATATATTTATTATCTATAGATATATATTATCTATATATATATATTATCTTTATATATATATATTATCTATATATATATTATCTATACATATGTATATATATATATATACACGGTAACTGTACATTATATACATGTATATATATATATATAACTTCCTTTCAGGCTGTTTCCTAGCAGTCCTTATCGGCCGCCAAGCTAGACTAGACTCACCTCAGTTTGGAAGATGCATCAGGAATCCTTTGCGCTACTGAAAGTCTCCAAAGCCATCAGGCCACTTTGGGGAGTCAACCCAAGAATCCCGGCATGTTTGCCTGACTGCCAAATTGCCAGTTTTCCAACTGGACTCAGCCCACAAAAAAGCCTTCGAGCTCCCTCCCTTTGCCATGATTCTGAAATCATATTCTGCGGTTACCACTTGGTTCCTCAGCTTGGAACGGCAATTGATCATCCATCTTGGCAAATAGCCAATGAATGCCAGGAAAAACAGCATCAACAATAGTGCTTTTTTTGAGGTGGCAGCCATGTTTACTGGTCCTAGATTCCTAGATGAAATTGAAAGAGAAAGGAAACTATACATTTGGGTCCTACATTCCTAGATTTGGGAATGGATACTGCAAAACACACAGGGGCTGCAGATCCTTGCTCAGCAGGACACAATCACACAACAGCCAGTGGACCAAAAGGACATATATATATATGTATATATATATATACATGTATATATATATATACGTACACCAAAGAGAAGCTTCAGTGAAACAACAGCAATCTGAATCCACAAACAAGCGATCATTGGATAATTGCTTTTCAAAACAACCTATCATAATCCCAACGGAAGCACGACACAAACAGCTGTCATCGGGTTGTTGGCTGAGCTTCAAGTACCAGCCAGCGGTCAGATTGCAGAAAAGAGTAGAATCTTTCGGCGTGGATTGCAGGAGGATGTGAATCGTCTGCAAAACCTGCGCCTCAAGGCTAGAACCAGCCATGAAAAGGTCCATGAAAAGGTGAATCACATGGGTATGGGTACCCCAATCAAGCGGAGCCACAAAAATAGACTGAAACTTGTAACTCTTGCAATCAACGGTCCAATCATTTCGACCCATACCCAAATGGGCCCATACATAGAGGCTCTCAAGTGGACGGTCTCAGGGAAACCAATGGTTGTGTGGTATCCCGCACCTGCAACTGGGCATTGCCAGTCGTTAACAGTTCTCGGAAGCGTTCGGTCACTCGCCGATCCACAAAGGGCTGCGCAAACTGCTCACCCATCCGAGAGCCCTTGGCAGACTGACCATACCTCAGAGGCAGGTTTTCACTGGAAAAGGATGAGAAATCCCCAGCGACAAAATCCACTCTGGCACAGCGACAAGTCCGCGGCCAGATCGAACCAAAATCATTCTGTAGGTCATCACTTTGGTTGGCTTGCCCTGTGGAATTATCATGCCTGCAGGTCAAAATCTCATAGTTTCCATGAACACCACAGCGTTTGCTGCCTCATATTTTCTCATTGTATGGGTTGAACACGTGGAATCAGCAAACATCATGACATCCACTGTTTTTCCATTTCAACCCAGATTGTGTTTGTGAAATTCCATGAAATTCCCATCCTAAGGAAATCCTGCCATGTCACGCCCAAGCTAAGCTTCCACCAATCTGCTGCACCAGGTCCACCTAATTTTCTTGCGAATCAACAAGAAACCATGGTTCTTATCCACCAAAATTTGGGTTGAACCAGAACAGAATCACAAATTAAAAATGCACAGTTAATTGCAAAACTGGAGCTTTTCACCAAGGTCAAAACTCAGATCAAAAACTCAGTTTTTGAAACATCGAAGATTGGGAAGTTTATAGGATCATCAAAGACGGAGAATTCACCAGCTCAAAACATCATCCTTGTGAATCTACCATGTGAAAAAATAAATTCAAACATAGATGTCACCCAAAATTCAAGACCCAGAAATCCATCCAAGAATGTTGGAGTTCCAGGTGTCATGATGGGAGGATGCCCCGACTTTTTTCGGCCGTTCAAATTTCTGTAGGGGTCAAAAAAATCGACCCAGTACAATAAATGACAAGCCTTTTTTGAGTCCCTTGGTATCTCAATTTTGACCCATTTCCACAATATGGGTCAAAATTGAATACCTCAAATGGTTACCACATGTTACCACTACAAACCACCAAAATCTGTAGTCCCCTTGACCTTATGAGGTATACCCATGCGCCAAATCCATCACTAAGGATGGAACTGCCTCGGAAACCATGGCATTCAAGACGTCACAGGGGCTCCGTCTTCGGAGGAGTTCCTTTCAACCAACATGCCATAGATGCATCCCCAATTTGTGGAAAATATGAACCTACACATGGGTGATTACAAATAAATGGGGTAGCCAGATTGGGATTTGTTGTTGGCTGTACCTCTAACTGCGAAAGTAATTCCCTACTGGTTTGATAGTGACTGATGACATCTGATGACTTTTCCGGTTCTTTAGGGACCCCCAATTTTTTCACGTGAATGAATGCTTAAATGGAGCGGCAGTTTTTCGCTGCTTCTCCCACCGCTCCGCTATCTTTGAGGTGGTGACAGGAAGATTGGGGTTTGCCAGGTCTTTCAACCAGAAAATATGAGGACTCCAAATACATGTTGAAAAGCTCTTGGGAATAAAGAATTCATACCAGTGATAGCTACCTTGCCTGCTGGTTGAAAAACTTGCCGAAGTTGTTTGTGAGTCTTGAATCTCATGGACTTATCTGGCATCTCTTGGAGAAGGGGAATCAGAACTGTCGCACTTTGACGTCGTGGCTATTCAAATCGAATAACCCTACTTCAACGCTACCAACTAGTGATCTTGATCATTTTATGAGAAGAAAATAGAAGAAACACTCCACCAAAAAAAACACGTGGACAAAAAGGGGGTTCCTACATTCCAGAGCTGCCCACCGCGCCTGGTTCAGGTCATTCAGCCGGATGCACATGTCATCCAGATTCTTGATGGAGTACTCCATGGTACCCGAGGCACAAATAGCTGGTGCCAAAAAAGCGGTGCCCAGGTGGAGAGACAGGTCTTTCTTCTACAGGTTCAAAGACACCCAGAACAAGCTACAGGTCAGTACATCTGGGGGGTTGCCTCAATGGAGAATTTCTCAAACTGGCTTTGAAAAAAGAGAAACACGACATGTTTAAAGAGTCTGGATTTTGTGGTATCAGCACATAGTTGAGAACCATCCCGTGAAAGTTTCATCGCAAGGAAATCGGTTTGGCTACACAAGTTTCTCTTGATATCTGCTGAGCAAAGAAGCAGTGTCTGCATCCTGGCATCCCAAGGAAAACTTGGAGCCAAACGGTAAACTTGGTAGCAATGACTGCAAAACACACAGCAAGATCAGGTGACAGGTGTCAACTCAGCACCAAAACATACCAAACCGTCATGCGTATGTATCCGTGAAGACCTACTCAAGGGTGTATGGTGTAACTTTTAAACTTACGACCTTTCAAGCCATGCAAACCCTTACTGGGCAGTTTACTTCCAGGCAGTTCAGACTTTCTTTCAAGTCAAGCCAGGACACTAACTTCGTGAGAGCGCCTCTGCCCCAGTGAAATGTACATGCCAAATTCCTCAACATAATAGAATCAAATGACAAGCCAAATCCCATAGCAGCCATAGCACATCATAAATCACGGCATATCCACCAACCTGCTGTACCACAGTCAGGTCAGCCCCGGTCTTGTGCAGTTGCTCTTCAGCCTCGAGACCACAAACGAGGCACGCGACAAACGCCCAGCGTTTGGTTGAGTGGAGATTTTGGTTGAAATAGGTGGGCGGGCCAAAAACAAAAGTGGTTGAATCGTTGCGTTTTGATCAAAACTCTCCAAAGACTCCCCAAGAGGTGGATGCTTGCGGTTTTGCGCACAGATTTTCCGGTGCGTTGACAACATCCATGCCTGTGCTGCGCGCTTCTGTGCCACCTTTGCAGACGTAGTTCACATGCTCACATCAAAATACCTCAATTACCTCAAGATACTGGGTAGATGAAGATTCAATCTCCCAAATGAGGCATTGTGGGTCTTGAAATGCATCCCCACATGAGCATGGGATAAAAACGTCCCATCTTTCCGGGGTCAACCTTGGCTATGGCTCAAAATTGCTGTGTCAATGGACCTCCAAAGAACATCGCTGGTTCAAGAGGTTAATCAGAAAACTACCGTAACTCCTCTCCCAAGCACTCCAAATTTCCAAACCTCCGAGGCGTCGTGAAGCCGTATCATTCGTTGCGTTAGCATCGAAACTTCCTGGCCAGAATTGCAATGGCGGAGAGCCAGAAGAGGCACGCTGCCAGGAAGATGCCAATGCCAAACAGTCCCAATTTGTTTCATGGGATAAAATGCGAAGCGATAGACATTGATGCAAGTGCCAACTGCAATTTACCAAATAGCCCAAATGCAGTGTGAGTTTGTTCCAGAAATAAAGCATTTACCGATCATTTACCCATCATCCAACCGTTCAGCCGTTCATCTCCATCCCTGCCTTCTTGCTGAAGGCTATCTGTTGCCCTGGTGCCAGGTCTGACACCAAAGTTTCCCACCTGGGATGATATCAACTGAGTTGGATTAATGTTATCAGTTTTGTTACCAGTTTTGGTTGTGAAATTAGTGAAATTCTAAGTTTGTTGCTGGTGAATCATTAAGAATTTGAGAGTGATATTGTTAATCCTAAGAATTCTGATCAACAATAACATCATCATCCTTATCGTGGTCGTTTTTGGTTCCTACAGATCTGTATCTGTCCCAAATACATCACGGCAGCAGAATGACGCAAACCTCAGGGCTGATGAGATTGGACTGCCAAAGACTCTAGAATCAGAAACAACCCATGAATCAACATACGCGCTGCAGCCAACGGCTGTGTTTCATGGCTTAAGACCCAGGCACGCACAGATCTTAACCATGTCAAACCATCCAATTTGTGAGCAATATACCCCAACTCTTGTTGGCTAAATCCGTCGTTCTGAAGGGTTTTCAAGTTGTTTCCCAATTGTTGGTCCTTGAAATCCCATTCTTGGTTGGGCAACTTTTTGGATCTTCGAAATCGTCCAATCGCTGCCCAAGAGGCCAAGTTCTGATGTCAACCATCAAATCCAAAAATGCCTCCCCATTGGAAAAGCCAGGGAGTGGCACACGAAAACAGTGGAGGATCACAAGAAATGGTGGTACATGAATTCAATGAATTTGGATGGATAATTTAAAAAAAATAGGAAAAACAACATAGTGGAACTGATGGTGGTCAATCAACAGCAATGACGGTGGTTTTTCGTCTCAATTAAATTGGAAAAACTGAAAGGTTCACTCAAATGGGGAAGCATTTAGCACTGAAAATGGCTGGAACATGTCACGGTTCAATTTGACTGGTGTCAGTTCATCCAGCTGCCAGGATGGAATGGTGGCAGTTTCGCTCCCCATAAGACGCAGGTGCTCCAGTTTGCCGGCCACAGGTTTCAGCAAAGAAAACAATGCGTTGCTGTCGCCTTTGGCGACATATTCTCGGGGCATGGTCAGGCAAGTCGTGAAATATCATTTCTCAAAAAACCGCGGGCTTTCCCCAGAGCATTCCTCCACGCAAATGTCAGATCTTCCAGGGCCGCCGCCCTCTCCTGCGGGCCTTTCCACAAGTTAGCAACTCCAAAATGCAATTCCAAAAGAATATTGATCCAAGCGCTGGGCACACTGTTGCTGCTCAGGGCTGTCACACTGTCCAACCATCCACCTTCATCCAAACGCTTGGAGGGTAGTCAGGGTTTCCAGCGATTTCGGGCCCCTTCCACGCCTTCCATCGGCTACACCTCACAGCGTGACACCATCCTCCCAAAGGTCGATCATAATCTACATCGAGGCATCTCGATGGAAAGCTAAGTTGCGCAAGGTGGCAAAGACAGGGATGATCTGTTTAACCAGCTGCATCACAATGCAGCTTGCTGATTTCAATTCTCTTTTCTATTGTTGGCCCAATCCCTGTTCGTTACGGTACAGCCCTTCGTGCAATGGCACACCAACCAGTTTTGACATGGCGAGCAGAACTTCTATGTTTTCATGGACAGAGCGAATTCCGCGGTCAACGTGCAGCAGTGTTTCTCTTGGTCGCTGCGGGCAGTTTGCCAGACAAATGTGTGACTTGAGTGGCAGCAGTTCTTTTTAGGGCAAACTTTGGCCCTCGACCATCACCATCGACCACCTCCCGTTGGGCTCTTCCACCTCTTCAATTCTTCCAAGCGGTTTGATGGGAAATGTGGACATGAGCCAGGACACAGCCTCATCCAGGGCCTCCACATAATCCACCAAGGGCGGTGACAGCAGCGTGGCTACAAATGAAGAGGTATGAGTTTCCTGACAAGAATGTTCCAGAATGTTAATTCAATCTGCTTCCAGCTTAGTTCACAAACTACTTACATTTAGGCAGGTTCCAAGTCCTCAAACATCTGTGTCTAGGTCCAACATTTTGTGACCTGGCAAACATGAAAATCATACAGTACTCTGAATGGTTTTTGTCACTCAATTGACCCCTGGTCGCGGGGTCATTGTCCTCAGGAATTGTGGACGGTTTCCTACAGATCCCACCAAGTTTTTAAGTGTCAGAAGTCTTGGTCATTAATCCAGCTCATACCGATATTTTTTTGAAGCCATCCCAGGTAGAATGGAACATGATTTAGCTTACATTTGCTTCCCACGTTTCACACTTGGATGATGGCTCTGGCACAGAGCTAGCGGCTGTGCATCTCGGATGTGTGGCCTGGCTCGCAGGCACCAAATCATCTTGACCTGACAAGACCCCGGTGCTGTTGCCAAGACATGGCTTTCAAGTGCTGACGACATTGTGGGATTTGACCACCATGAGGATGATATAAATATGTCAGTGTGTACATATATATACATATATAGAGAGAGAGAGAGATGTGTGTATGTGTGTATATGATACTTATTATATGATATATATATATATATGTATGCATATGTATCTGAATCTGTATGTACATATAGGTATATGATTGTGTATGTGTATGCGTGTGTGTGTGTATCTATGTATATATCTATGTATCTATGTATCTATGTATCTATGTATCTATATATCTATGTATCCATGTATCTATGTATCTATGCATGCATGCATGCATGCATGATGGATGGATGGATGGATGGATGGATGGATGGATTGATGGATGGATGTCTGTAAGTATGTATATGTGTACAGAATAGTAATTGATGATATAATCCATTGCTTATGTTTGTATACATAAATTTGATCTACCTGAAGATGTTCATTGCCGGGCGCACCCCCAGCACAGGGCCAAGTGATAGACCAGCTGCGACGTCTATAGGATGACCTGCCGGAGCCACAGAGGAGTTTAACCATGAAAAATTGGAATTCCACCAACCATGTTGTGGTAATAAATGGCAATGTAATGGAGAAATAATGGGATACAACTGTATGTATAACTATAGCCATAAGTACAACTATAACTATAACCAAACTCCTATGAGATTAAAATAGGGGATACAGGGAACCTCAATTTATGGCAAGTATATGGCAAGTTTGACACGAAAAATCCAACCCATCCCGAAGTAACTGGCCCAGGTGGCTTCGGATTGGTTGTGCTGGTTGATTCCTGGCGATTCCCGGTTTACTGTATCATAACTCCCCTTGACCCTGATGCAAAATGTGCAAATAAGAAAAATCGTGCGGATCTAAAATCTAAATGACAAAGTTTATGTTCAACGGAAAAACATTTGAAGTTGGAACTTACCACCAAGGCGACCAAGGCGACCAAGGCGGCCAAGGCGACCAAGGCGACCAAGGCAACCCAGGGTTGGGTTGCTGAACCCTGGGGCGTGATGGACCTCCTTCGCTGCAGCGTCATGGCTAAAAGCGTGCCACTGGCAACCTTGGAACTCAGGACATCTCAGGACATCTCAGGACATCTCAGGACATCTTAGGACTAGGGCCTGACTAGGGGTCCTCGGGGTCAAAATTGGATACCTGAAAAAGAAATAAAAAGAAAATGTATGGGGAACAGTAAAACTTAGTAAAAATTGCTAAAGTGGTCTATTCTCAATGGTGTCGAGGGTCTTTCATTTAACCCACAGCCACCAAAAGAAGGGAGTCCCTGATACGCACTGAGATGAACTTGGGCTCACATGACATATGGACGTGGAAAAAGTCACCGGACCTCATGAACATTCGACTCGAGACAAACTGGTAACCAAAACATCCAAAACTAACATACCAATACTATCCAATACTCCCAATACTGGAGATATCTGGAGATAAAGGAAGCTGGTCAAGACTCAATTCTTTTCGTTGGCCTCCAGGGATGCCATGTGATCCACTTCGGCATGGGGAAACAATCTGCCGATATATCTGGTGATTGAATCTCGCCTGTGGATTTGTCCAAAAAAAAACTACAGTACCCTAAGCCCCAAACCCCAAAAAAACTGTAGTCTAATAATCACTTTCCTTATTGCCATTTTGGGAGTATACCCATTTTTCAAACACATCCATGTCAGTCTACATGGTGCCACTGTGCCCTTCCAACACCCCATGGTCATGCCGGTCATGCAACCCATTCGTGCCGCAAATGTTCTCTCGGATGCGTGGGACGCCTTGAAACCTCAGCTTGAGTATCAAGTAAGAATGGGAATACCATGGAATCCATGGAATCCATGGAATACCTAAGACTTTTAAGGTTGCCAATTTCTCGGATTCGAACATCAAAGCACCGGGCTACTCAACCTTGCGCCTAGTCACGGCCGCCGCGAGCGGCGCTGCGGTCAAGCACGGAATTCCCTTCTGGATCCCCGTAGGCGCCAGCATGGCTCAATGGAAAACTGTGGATTATTATGGATTTTTTGTGTGCAACATGTCGATGGGCTGATGGGGCAACCATCTGCCCTGTGATTATTGTGATTGAAGGATGTTTGCACTATGCTGCCGCTATGGATACCAGGGCTGAAAGTTGATACTGTTGATAAGATTGGAGAATGACTGGAGACTGAAAAATGAGGCACTCCACCATGTCTCAAGCATTTCGGGCATTTCTTGGAAAATCTGACTTTGAACCAAGCCGCTTGGATCGAAAGATGTCATTACCATTCTTGTGTGCGACCTGACATCGGCATCTGTCAATCATTAAACGCTCAGCAGAGTCTGACAAACAAAACCCTTTTCTCACAGTTTCAATCCAAGCACGGCCTTTTCTCGTTCAGCCTCATTGGTCAGTTCAAGACATTGGCTACTGCCGCTTCGCAAGGCAAAGCTCTGGTGGCGGTGGTAACTCAGCGTCAATAATTTTTGAACCATAGATCATAGCTATGTTTCGACACACACACACACAGCCCAAACCACCAACAGCTTCGGCAGTTGAACATGGACAAGCTGAAAAGCTGCAGAGTCGGACCGACGCATGGTGCATTCGGCCGCAACCTATGAACCCATGTGCTTTGTGGGTGTCTCCAAAGAAAATGCACTCAGTAGATGAAAAGGACCGGAACACAAGCCAGATATCTTGGTGCTGATTTTGAGACGTAACCATAGCCTTCTTTTCACTGAACAAACTTCCATGCGGAAATTTCAAGCAAAGCAGTGACCTTGCTCCCAGGCCTGGTAATTTAGAAAGGCATGTCTTTGAGCTCCGTCAAATCATCACTGAGCCTGGAAACTTTTCATTCTGCTACCAACGTTTTGTCGCAGCATCGGCTAAGGCGAGAGGACCATGAGAGGACCATGAGAGGACCATCATACCGTGGCTACGATTACTTCACACAAACCAGGGACTCTGACGGCCACATCCCACGCGGGGCACGAAGCACTGCCAGGTGCAGCAGGTCTGGCGCCCAAGATAATGCTATCCACCGCCTGGCAACACTAGGGAACTCCCAGTGGAGATTCCCTTGTGTAAGCCCTGTTTCTGACAAGTGTTTCCAAATTGTTGGCTAAAAGAAAAGTACGCACTTGTTTCATTGTGAGAATTGTGCTTTGCCCGTATATTTTTGTTGCTGGGTTGGAGGCCGAGTCTCCAATTCAGGGTTTGGGCCACCGCGGGCGGTTTTTTTAGCAGTTCAGAGGCACCTAATCTTCAAACATCTTCAAACCATAGAAGGTATATGGTCTACCAGTCTACGCCATTTTTTGACTAACACAAAAATTGTACATGGCTTACTGATTGAGAATGTTTTTTTTCATATACTTCAGGATACCTACCTTTGAACGACTTAGATTGGTATCAAGTATCAACTAAGATTCTTCAGCATACTGGCCTCTTTGAGCCACAAAAGGAATTGTGTAGTCTCCTCCTCACTAAAGAAGCATTGATTCCTTGGAACATGTCAACTGGTGACAACGGTGACAACATGACTTCCAAGGGACAAGGAAGGCAGTTGCCAATTCCGGCTCCTGACAATCGTTAAGATTGTCCTGTATTGTCTCCTAACACAAAACAAAATGCTGTCTATTCCCGCTTCCCACCATTCACCTTCTGGTCATCTCATGACACATCTGACAATGGACATGAAAGAGGCAGACACATGAGAGACGGTACCTAATGACGTGCACAACGCCAGGAAAGCAACGTGAAAAAATGCCGTGCGAATTCAAGACCCAAGCGACTGCAAAGTGCCAAGCAGGGACACATAATCGTAGAAAAAGTTCGTGTCGCTGTTATCATACCTTGCCACCAAACATCCCCAAGGATTCTGGAGAGTGGTAGAGATCTTTGTCATTCTCTGGTTCGGTGCTGTCTGCTCTTGGTAGAGGCCTGTTTTGGTCTTGTGTAGCTTACCCTGCTATCTGTCAATTTGACTGCAGGTAAAGCAAGTCTTTCCAGTGCCTATTTTTCATCTAACAAACCCTGAATCCTGGAGCTAAGTCAGGGGAAAACTAACGGGAAAGCTCTGCATTTGAATACAAAACCAAAAACTAACATTGTTCCTGCAGGCCCAAATTCATCCATTGACAGAAAAACTCAGGTTGTAACTCACCTTTCTTCCATGCGTTCCGGATCATCTGCGTCACCTGCGTTCCAAAATGTGTGTTTGTCAAAAAATGGTCGATACCCTGAAATTGCAAGTAAATCTAATGAGGAAAACAATTACAATCCACACGGTTTTGAGGTACCCAATTTTGAGCATACCCGCGTAAAGACATTGACATCAAAGAAAAAGGTTCAAGCAATCTTGTGACCAGCTAATTCGAAAAGACAATCCAAAGTTGAGAAGATAGAGAAAATGTGCCTGTCTATCCCTGCCCGAATTTCAAACCCCACCTCCTAAACATTGCAACATGTTGGGAAAAAATGCATTTTTTTCTCGAGTATATACAGTATCTGTTTTTGTCTCAAACTTCACAATCCCAACAGTCCCATGGTTTGTGTTGTCAAGATCTTCCGCAGCAAAATCGCCATTTTGGAGTTATATAAGCACATATATACATATATATGATATATATATATATATATTTATATTTATATTTATTTATAAATAATATATATATATATGATTATATATGCCACATAGATAGATAGATGGATAAATGGACAGAAAGATAGCGAGATAGATAAATAGATAAATATGGAAATGGATAGGTAGATAGATAATTAGATGGATAGATGGATAGATGGATGGATGGACGGATAGATAGATGGATGGATAGGATAGATAGGATAGATAGATAGATGGATAGGTAGATAGATAGATTAGATAGATAGATAGATAGATAGATAGATAGGTAGATAGATAGGTAGATAGATAGATAGGTAGGTAGGTAGGTAGATAGGTGTGTATATATATATATATAAATGGATAGGTAGGTAGGTAGATAGATAGATAGATAGGTAGCTAGGTGATAGATAGATGGAGAGATTAATAGGTGCATACATGCATAGGATGGATAGATATAGATGGATGTAATGCATGGTATGCACAGGATGGAAGGGATGGATAGTATAACTTAGTATAGATTAGATAGACTAGATTGATTATGTAGGTAGATTAGGTAGATTAGGTACATTAGATTTTACAGACTAGATAAGTTGAATCAGATTTAGACAGATTAGATAGGTACGAAAGATAAAATGAACAGAGATTGTTAGATTGGGCTAGTTTACATTAGAATAGATTGGATCAGATTTTGATTAGATTTAGATTGGATTTTGATTGGATTTACATTCGATTTAGAATTAGATATAGCTGTAGGTTCAGATTCAAATTCAGATTCAGATTTAGATTAGGTGTTAGATTGGATTGGATTTAGATTCAGATTTAGATTTAGAGTTGAATTTAGTCAGACTTAGACTTAGATTTAGATTGAGATTCCGATTCAGATTTTTGAGTTTGAGTTTGAGTTTTATTTGGATTTGGATTACATAGATTCGATTGGATAGATGCATAGATTATATAGATAGATGGATGGATGGATGGATGGATGGATGCATGGATGGATGGATAGATAGATAGATAATTAGATGGATAGATGGATAGATGGATGGGTAGACGGATATGTAAAGTTTCACCGGCACTCTGATTGTGATGGATTGTGTCCACGTTGTCTCACGTTTGTCCTCTTGTCCAATTGTCCTTGTCTTGTGCACGCTCCGCTGTATTGTTTTCCTCTGGCAATTGTCTTAGGCTCAAGGCCTTGATCCAGAGCACAAATTGTGCTGTGCATTGTTGCCATGTACACTATGGATATTGTTGATATCAAAACTATTGTATTCTTAACACCGTCCCTCGAATTGGCGGCATTGTGCACGCCACTTCGTTTAGGATTGTCCATTCACATTGTCCATTAGCATCGTTGAAAACTGAAATCAGCATTATTTTTCTCTCATTGTTCAGTGCAAAAATTGTTCAAGTCTGTACAGTGGATTGTTGATGATCTGTACACTTCTTTGCCTCATTGTCGACTCGTTGTGCGTCTTTTGATTGTCTCGTGGTCGGCAAAGATGTGGTGTCATCATAGTCAATCCTCTTGGATCTTGTAGATCATCTTCTAGCCGTCCTTCTGTTCGACTTCCATGTCGTCAGCACGGCGCTTCCTGTTCTCTTTGTTCCCAACTTGCTGGATCTCATTGTCAGACCTGGTCATGACCCAGGCTGCATGGTCAGGATGACCAATGCTGTGCATAGGGATCATGTTGGCTGGGGTTGTTGCCAGATTGCGATCCAACAGGAATTCCAATGCCTTGTCTCGGATGTGCCTTGGCATGATTTTGAGGCAAGTGGTGCCTCCATTGTATAGGCCTTGGATGAGAGCAGTCATGATGTGAGAATTGTTCTCATCATCCTTGACCTCCAGGGCTGTGAGCACATTCACTGGCATTGCTGATGCCCACACATACCCACTTGACCACACAAAGCGTGAGGCCAGTTGGAGCACATTGTAGTTGTCATTGTTGACAATGACCATTGTCGACAACTCTTCGGCGGTGAGATTGTATTGGAATCCTTCCAGCACTTGCCTCATCTGTAGGCTATATCCACGCTGGAATGAATTGACGTGCTTCATTGTGTGATGGGAGCACCAATTGTTGAGGTCCAACTGAATTTCCACCATCACTGTGCTTGACGATGGCGTTGCGTGTCTTTCGACACGTGCCAACACAGCTGATTTGCTGCGTCCTGGATTGTGGGGACCCCGATTGTCTGGAGCCACCGTTTGCCAGCTCGGACATCATGGGGATGTAGGTCAATGTTCCTTCTTGCTCTGCGATCATGGCCACATATTCCTCCATTGTGAAGCTGAAGACGGTCATTGTTTTGCCGTCCTAGCCCAACAGCAATTGTCTTGCTGTCTTGTCCGTCTCCTCAGGCTTCAGGATG